CGAAGACTGAACAGCCTTGTCACCCCTGTCGTCCAGAAATTATTTAACCAGCAGCACTAAACAAAAACTTGCCTTCTCGTTCCAAACCTACCAACCACTGCGAACAACAAAACAGATCCTCAGAAACTCTATTAACCTTGTATTTTTGAAGAAAGCTTATAAGACATGCGCCGAAACGTCGGTAGTGCTCAATAATCTGATTGATCGCATTATTTCTTACGTCGCGTATAAATAAACCAGTATGACTATCAACACATGAACGAAATACTTCATCTTCGAACATTAAGTACCAAGTCTAATTTAAACTCAAAGCCTCGATTCCTTTAAAAACTTCCATGGGAAGACATACTGCGTAGGAAAATACTCGTTTGCCATATTGTTATCAATAAAATGTTCTCTCATTTCACACAGCGTTTTTGAATGTCACTCAGACGATTGGCAGGGTCAAACTGCATATTAAATCAAAGGAAAGGAAAGAAAGGCTATAACCGTTGGAATATCGATTTTCCGCATTCTATCATGATGAAGTCATTTCAAGCGCCATTCTTTTCAAGTCAACCGTGGGCCATTGATCTCCGCTTTATCAGGGAGGAGTTCCTTATTTTAAACGCAGACTCTACAGCAGCTATGTGTCAAACATAATATGTAGTCTCCTGTTCCCTTCTCACGGAGTAGTAATCTTATCAAACTCAGAAGGAAGAAGGGCGAGTGACCCTGACCTAAAATCCCTCGGTTCTAGATTTGACGCTGTATCGGCTGAGCAATCTCGGTCTGAAGCAATGCGGTAAACCGCCAGCTCATTGAAATTACTGGGCTAAGACAAAGACCGCTCCCTGCCGGCATCTAACAAGGCATCTGCCGACTTCTAAGCCGACCTCTATCTTAGGCAGTGCATCATCCCGCCACCATATTCAATCAGCCCTGTGTATGGCGGCCACTGATACACAATCAAATGTAAAGAGTGGCAATTGCCAATTACACCAAGCTTAAACGGTTTTCCCGCTGTTAACACATATGGACAAATACTGAGTTAATTAAATAAGGATTATTAAAAATGTTCAGTTGAAATTATTGCTTCGAAGAACCATGTGGCCAACAAAAATTTTTCGCAACTAAGGTCTACAGATACAAGAACATTTGACCAGCGTTTCGCCTTTCGCCAAGAACAGGAAAAAAGCAACCATGCAATGGTTGGAATGCCGGTTTCCCTTAAGCCTCCATAACGACTGCTCTAGCAATCCTCTTCTTCCACAAATCCTACGGCGCAGCGCTCCCTGCTTTTCAGAGGCCAACAAGGATTTTATTGAACATTATTTTTGAAGGACACATCTACAACAGATAGCTCGATTATGTAAAAGAACCAGCAAAAGCCGCATCTCGAAATGTAGAACATCGAGCCTTTCGGTTTCCCGGAGGAACTGCGGAAAAGCTTACTGAAGCAAGTGTCTTCGCGACAAGCAAATGTTAGTGAATCTTGAAAATGAATCAACCGAAAGAACATTTACGAACAGGATGTCATTACAGCGATTATATTCATAATCCCTGCCCACACAGTGCTAATCATTTGCCCATCTTCAATAGAAGAACGGCCGGTCAAACTTCCGATCTACAGGACGGGAAGGGAAGGGACACGCGTCCAACGGTTGGCAGACTGAGCTATCTTTCTTCAGGAAAAACATGGCGATTAAAATGAGATTAATGAATTCGATTCATGACTAGAATGAAATGTCATCAAAAATCCCGAAACAGATAACAACAATGACACTAATAATGAGAGTAAAATAATAAGCTGAGTGCTAGGACCTGTTGTACGCGTGAAATTCGGTTCTGAAGAAATTATGAGGTTTAATATACGTCCACACATTAACCTATGCTTTTTATTTATGCCCTAGCACACAGAAAAACCCAGCTCTCAAAATGTTTCGTGATAAGCAAGAGACTGCTCTAATGACGTGAGACGCATCCAGCAGTTTAGGTGCTCAAATGCCATGTAGCCATGGCCACCTTACATGGTAACCTTAAGACCTTACGCAACAAGATGTAAAGGAGCGGTTATAAGCCGTGAAATCGGTTTTGGAGAAGTTAGGCGCTTACTAAGGAACTCCGGTGTATGAACGCATAATTTTTTATAAAATTATTATCAATAAAAGTTTTAGC